TTTATTTATTTATTTGACCGAAAGAGAGAGAGATCACAAGTAGGCAGAACAGCAGGCAGAGAGGGGGAAGCAGGCTCCCTGCTGAGCAGAGAGCCTCATGTGGGGCTCCATCCCAGGACCCTGAGATCATGACCTGAGCCAAAGGCAGAGGCTTAACACACTGAGCCACTCAGGTGCCCCATACTAGGTCTTGTTGTTGTTGTTGTTTTTTAAAATCCATCCAGCCACTCTATGCCTTTTGATTGCAGAATTTAACCATTTACCTTCAGAGTAATTTTGATAGGTAAGGACTGACCAGTGCATTCTTAGTAATGGTTTTCTGGCTATTTTATAGTTCATTTGTTCCTTTCTTCCTCTCTTTCTGTCTTCCTTTGTGAAATGATGATGTTCCTTAGTGGTATGCTTTGATTCCCTTCTCTTTATCTTTTGTGAATCTACTATAGGTTTTTGCTTTGTGGTTACTGTGAGGCTTACATAAAACACCATATAGATAGAACAGTTATTTTATGGTGATAACAACTTAACTTTGGTTGCATAGAAAATCTTCGCCCTTTTGCTCTCCTCCTCTTTTGTTTTTGATGTCACAATTTACCCCTTTCTATACTGTATATTCACTAACAAATATTGTAGTTATTTTTTTTCAAAGAATTTATTTATTTGACAGAGAGTGAGAGAAGGAGAGAGAGCACAAGTGGGGGGAGCAGCAGAGGGAGAGGGGGAAGCAGGCTCCCTGCTGAGCAGGGAGCCCGATGCAGGACTTGATCCCAGGATCCTGAGATCATGACCCGAGCCGAAGGCAGAGGCTTTAACCCACTGAGCCACCCAGGCGCCCGTCTTCATTCTTTTTCATTCTTTTTTCTTTGTTCTCCTCTGGCTGGATAATTTCAAAGTTCCTATCTTTCTAACTCATTGATTCTTTCTTCTTGATCCATCCTTAATGTTAATTTTTTTTTTTTTTAGATTTATTTATTTATTTGAGGGAGTGGAGAGAGGAAGGGGCATAGGGAGAGGGAGAATCCTAAGCAGACTCAGAGCTGAGCGCAGTGAGATACAGGGCTCTGTCTCATAACCCTGAGATCACCATCTGAGTCAAAAGCTGAGTCTGGGGCATAACCGACTGTGCCACCCAGGCACGCACTGTTGGTGGTTTCTATTGTAGTTTTCATTTCATTCACTGTAGCTTCAGCTCCAGAATTTTTGTTTGGTTCTTTTTTATGATTTCTTTCTCTTTGTTGAACTTCTCATTTTGTTCACATATTGTTTTCCTGATTTCATTGCATTGTCTTTCTGTGTTTTCCTTTAGCTCATTGAGTTTCCTTAAAACAGGTATTTCAAATTATCTATTGAGTAAATTGCAGGTTCGCATATTGAGATTGGTTACTGAAAGATTATTGTGATCTATGTTGCACATTCCTTGAAGTTTTGTATTGCTGTCTCTTTATTTGAACGATCAGTCACCTCCTCCAGTTTTTAGTAATTGCCTTCTTCAATGGATCTAAACTTGTGTTTTTTCCTCCAGCAGTGTGCTGGAACTTCTTTGCTGGATACCTGGACTTCTGCAAAGACTCTCTCACCCATAAGTGATTGTCTAAGACAGTGCTTTCCAGGAGCTCCTGGCTGAGGTGAGCTGGAGTTGATTCATGGGCCACTGCAAGGTCCACAGTGGGGACTACGGTGTGTATGCCCATTGCCCAATGCAACATGTGGGTGAGACTCTTCCCAGGTCCCTGGACATATGGTACCAGATCCCACAGCTCCCAGGAAATCACTTTTGTCTATTGATGGAAGCAAAATTATTGTTGCTGGGGGTGGATGGGGACACAAACAAGGGATATCTTCTTCAGCCATGATGCTCCCTATACATTAACAGTAGTGTACCATATACTCAGTTATGCATCTCATATTCCACTTAATATCTTGGAGACCATTCCACATCAGTACATAGACATTGAGCTCATTTTAAAAAATTAATTATTTTATTTCTAGACTTTATTTAGCACAGTTTTAGGTTCACAGTAGAACAAAGAGGAAAGCACAGAGACTTCCCATATGCTCCCTGCATCCCCCCAACACACAAAGCTTCCCCCCATCATCAGCATCACTTACAGAATGGTACATTATTTAACCAGGATGAACCTACACTGACACATCGTAAGCACCCAAAGTCCACAGTGAATCTCAGGGTTCACTCCGGGTGCTATCCATTCTACAGCTTTGGATAAATGTGTAATGACATGTGTCCATTGTTATAATAGTACACTAAGTATTCTTATTGCCCTAAAAATCCTCTGTGCTCTACCTGTTCACCCCTCCTCACCATCCCTGCCTATAGCACTCTTTTTCACTGAAGATATCTGCACAGAAAATGTCCATAGTTTGCCAAAATGCTAATGATCCATCGGTACCAATGGCATAAGAAATTCTAGAACAGCAGCTTATATTGTAAAGAAATATATTTCACTTATTTTTGTTTTCTTTTCTTTTTCACTGCTAGCTCATTCTCTTTTTTAAAAATTTTTTCAAAAAGATTTTATTTATTTATTTGACAGAGAGAGAGATCACAAGTAGACAGAGAGGCAGGCAGAGAGAGAAGCGGAAGCAGGCTCCCTGCTGAGCAGAGAGCCCGATGTGGGGCTCGATCCCAGGACCCTGAGATCATGACCTGAGCCGAAGGCAGAGGCTTAACCCACTGAGCCAGCCAGGCGCCCCTAGCTCAGTCTTTTTAACAGCTGAATAGCATCTCATTTTAGGAGTATGACATAATTTAATTATCCTGTTCTTTTCTATTTAAATTGAGGCATGATTGACAGACGACATTATATTAGTTTCAGGTACACCACACAAGGATTCAGTATTTGTATACACTGCAAAATATCACCACAATAAGTCTAGTTAATGTCCATCACCATATAAACTTGTTCCTTTTTGACATTTAGTTGTGTCCAGTCTTTTGTAACTATTGACAATGCTGCAGTGGATACCCTGGTACACAGGTCTTTGTGTTTCTGCGTGAGCACGAATGTAAGACAAATTTCTAGTAGTGGAATTGCTAGGTCAAAAGGTATATGCATTTAAATTGTAATAGCTCTTGCCAAATTACCTTCAAAGAGACAACCATATTATAGTCCCACCAACAATGAATAAGAATGTCTTTTTCTACAATGCTCATTTTTGCCAATCTGATATCTAAAATATAGTATCGCCTTAATTGTAATCTGTTATTGAGGTGGTTGAGTGTCTTTTCATTTGTTTAGAAGCCACTTGTATTACTTTTCTATGAACTGTGTTCATATCCTTTGCCCATTTCACTATTATTTTAAATTAATATTTAAGAATAAAATATCAGCTTTCTCATTATCATTTGCTCAAGATCCTCCTCAAAGGCCAGAGGTCCTCTCAAACAGGTGTTCGGTGGTCTCCACAATCACACCGACTCCCTCTTTCTAACTCATATCAGCCTCCTTCCCCAACACCACTGTCTGTCTCAAGGAAGGACATCTTTATGGTCTCAGCATCCCACACCCTTCCCATGACATTCCCAAATGTCTTCTATCCTTCCCCTCTGGGATGCTCTGTTCTCAGTCAAACCTGACCACTCCTTCTGGACCCAACTGATTTCCACCAGGAATGCCTTTCTGAATAACAGTGCCCATACTACCTAGAGCCTCCTGGGAACCTTTCCACCAATTACAGCCTATACCACTGGAAGGTTGGGCTGGACCTCTCCCAGAGCCCAGTTTCCCCTCTGTCCATGCTCAGCATACAGGGGTGTCAGTGTGGAGTGGGTATTATGCACTTTTTCAGCATTTATTGAATGTGTACATGAGTCAGGCACTGCTCTAAGCACTGGGAATGTGGCAGTATATAAGACAGAACAAGGTCCCACCTCTCATTCTGCTGAAATTTTAGTGTGTGTGCAGGTGGGTGACATACAACATAGTCAATGAACACACACACATGCCTAAGAATGTCAATGAAGTGTACACAAGTAATGGAACGGATAGTGAAGGGAGGAGGGAAAGGGTCTCCTTTGGACAAAGAGGCCAGGGGACCGATCCCCCAAGAACTGAGATTCGACCACAAACCTGACTATGAGAAGGCTCCAGCTATGTAAAGAACTTTCCAGATGCCCCACTAGAGGCCCAGTCTGGTGGGTCTGCTCTTCTAAAAATAGACTGAGATGCAGCGGGTCCACAGCGTTGTCTCTTTTTCTGTCACTTGATAAGAACTAAAGGCACAAGCCCAAGATCCCGGTAACTTCAGGGCTGTGTGTGGTGTAAGTGGGGTTTGAGAACCTGCACCCTCCGGCTTCATATCTGAGCTGCAAACCTGGGAAAATGAAATCATGCTTGCCCTGGCATTAATAACAGAGCACCTGCTCCAGGCCAGGGTCCTTTAAGCACTTTACACCACTGTAATTTCATATAGCCAGCACAACAATCCCTTGTGGTACTTACTAGTAACTATTTTACAGGGAAGGAACAAATAGAGGCTCGCAATATGGATGCAACCTGTTTAGGTTTGCACGGTTCAGAGAGAAGTACAGTTCACCGAGGCAGAAGGTCTATCATGGGGGTCGGGTGGGGTGCCCTGGAGCACTCGGGGCGCACCTTTTTTCCGGAGTTTGCCCGCGGCGCCCCGACATTGGTTCTTGGCCCCGCCCGGGTCTCCCGGCCTCAGGGCCGAGGGGCGAGCGGCGGGCGCGCCCGGACGGCGGGCTGGGGGCGGGGAAGGCGCGGGGACAAAGGCCGCGGCCACCGCGCCCCGGTCGGACAGTGCGGCGACGAACTCCCGCGGCCGTGCGGGGACTCGAGACTCCCGGGACGTCGCCGCGCGCGGGGATGAAGCGCCCTAGGCCCGCGCCCGCGCAAGCGGAGCCCGCGGGCCCGCCGCCCGCACCGCCCCCTCCGGCCCCCCCGCCCTCTCCCCCTCCCCCTCCCCCGCCCCCGCCCCCTCTCCCCCGCCCCGTTGCGGCCGCGGCGGCTCGGCTCTCTGCGAACATGGCGGCGGCGGCGGTCGGGCGGGACACTTTACCTGAGCACTGGTCTTATGGCGTGTGCCGGGACGGCCGCGTCTTCTTCATAAAGTGCGACGCGGGCAAGCGGGCACGCGGGCGTGGGCGGGGGCCGGGCGGGGTGCGGGGCCGGGCGGGTGTCCCCGGAGCGGCGGCGGCGCTAACAGGTGCACCTTTCTCCCGCAGTGACGAGCTCCGCCGCACAACCTGGCTGCACCCGCGCACCGGGGAGCCAGTCAACTCCGGCCACATGATACGCTCAGGTGGGAGCCGGGCGGGTGGAGTTGGGGGTCAGCGCTCGGGAGGCGCGCGCTCCGGCGGCTCAAGTTTGACCCGACTTTTTTGGCATTTCCGCAGACCTGCCCCGCGGCTGGGAGGAGGGCTTCACGGAGGAGGGAGCCAGCTACTTCATCGAGTGAGTGACCCGGTCGCCGCGATCGCACCTGTGCGGCGGGATCCGACCGGTTCCCGCCGCGCGCGCCCGCCCCCCCGCCTCCCGCGCGGGTCCGGGGCGAGTTGGCGCGCACAGCGCCGAGGCCGCACTGCTGTGGGGTTTTGTGTGCCGGAGTTATGTGGCGGGCTCCGGGAAACCGGGCGGCGGGGCCCGCATCTCCGCGGGGGGCCGCAGTCGGGGCCGCAGATGGGGCGGGGGCCGCAAACTGCCTCCCCCACCCCACCCGGGTCCTGCAGTTGGGCGGGATTCGGGCGGGAGTGTGAGGGGCAGGACACGCCTCCCCGCCGGGGTCCGGTGCAGGCACCGATCCCGGCCAGGACCCACTGCTGTGGGCGGGGGTGGGGAGAATGGAAATAATTGTTGCGTCCGGGGTCCGGGAGCTGGGGGCTGGGGAGGGGGAAGTAGAGACGGAGGGCATCTCGAGTGGGGAGGGCTTGGGCTTCGACTTTGTTGACTGGGGTGGTGGTAGAGAGTCGGAACCGCACCCCCCTCGCCATCCAGAGCGCGGGCCTGCGTTGGTGGGGGGTAGTGGTGGCGGTGGGGAGGGAACCCATCAGCCAATAATATTCCTCGAACGCTGCGCGTCTGGGAAAGCCAGTGATCCACGGGGACAGTCACTCCAGCCTCCGCTAGCAAGCGGTAGTTCAGAAAAAGCCCGCGAGCATTGCACCACTAGCCAGGTTACCCCAGACCTGGGTCTGTAGGGGTGAAATCGTGGGGGCAGTACGCGAGGGCGCCCCGCAGCCCGAACACTAGTATGGCTGCTCCTTCTCGCCCCGGGGCTTTACCTGTGTTGCTGAGTTTCTCTGCAAAGCTCTGCGTGGTTGCCAGTCAGCTCCCTGCGGTCGGAAGCTGCTTTGGGTCCTTTGCCCGGTGCCTGGCACAGAGAAGGCACTGGGTAAATCTTTGTTTACGGAATGAATGGACTAGCCAAGGTCTGGACGGTGGTCTGACAAATACTGTTACTTCTGGGGGCTGTGAGTCAGAATTCCTTTTTCACCAACCGAAAACACTGCTAGGCAGTAGCGGAGCAGCCTGGTCGGGGTTTGGTGGTCTCAGAAAATCCTGGATGCTCCCTCCCTAGTTTGGACTCTTGCAGGATGTTCGAAATTCTGGTGGATGAGCTTTATGTAGGTGGACACTAGGACCGTGGCTGGGGTCCTGCCTCACATCTGTGTTTGAGAGAGAAGTTGGGGAGCTGGCTAAGACCTCAGAACCTCTCAGTCAGTGGACCTGTCTGCTCATAACTGCATTCATTGATGTTTAATTAGATTTCTCCTTGTGTGCCGCACATCGTTTTAGTCATTGGAACCACAGACCTGAATGAGGCAGACAACATCTGGATGGTCATGGAGCTTGCAGTCTGGTGGGGAGAGGGAGTGGAAAATAAATTAAAAAACCAAGAATAGTGTCAGCGGTAACTACTGTGCAGAAAATTAAGATAAGGTAATGGGATATCAAGCGGTGGTGTTGGATTGAGAGGTCTGTGGTGGTGTTTCTGAATAGGTGACATTTAAGGTAAAATTTGAATGTCAGGAGAGAGCCATCCTTGTGTTGATGAGATGGCAAAGCATATCCCCAAGAGACCAGCCAGTGCAAGGGCTTGAAGGCAGGAAGAGCTTCAAGTCCAGAGTGGAGAGGCTGGAATGTGGTGAGCAAGGGAGGAGGTTGCAAGGGAAGAAGAGGTTACAGGTAGGAGAGAGCAAATGGTGTAGGACTTTATGAGCCAGGGTGAAGAGTTTTTAAACTTTATCCTAAGCCTAGGGAGAAATCACTGGAGGGTTTGAAGTGGGGGAGCAATGATTTGGTGTGCATTTTTAGGAAGATCATTCTCCCTGCTCTAGAGTGGGCTGTATGGAGGTGGGCAAGTGTAGTGGGCAGGATAGTGGTAGCAGTCTGTTGCTGATGACTTGACTGAGGGTGTAGCACTGGACATGTTTTCATCTGAAGTGGTCAGATTCAGGCTTGATGATCTGGATGCAGTCTGTGAGAGAAAGAAAAGAGTCAGAGATGACTCCGAGAGGCTTGAGCACCTGAGTGGATGGTACTTATATCTTCAGATGGGAGGGCTGGGAGGAGCAGTTTTGCGGTGGGGGAAAGCATGAGATCTGAGAGGTTTGAGATATGAGTATGTCCACTAGGCAGATGGATGGATCCTGAAGCTCAGAAAAGAGAGAGAGAGAGAGAACTGCAAAGGTGTATTTGGGTGTGGTAGATGGTGTTCAGGCCACAGGATTAGTTGAACTCACCTTGGAAGCGTGTGTAGACAGAAGAATGACCTAAGCCTTGAGACACAGCATTTAGAGGTTAGGAAAAGAGGTGGATCCAGCAAAGGCGAACTGAGAAGGTAGGAGGAACCCCAGTAGAATGAGAGGTTCACAGAAGCTTAAAGGACAGAACCTGATTAGAGTAGGTGGAGGGGAAAAATATGGGGTGCAGAATTGGGGTCAGTAAGCGTAGGCGAATCTTTCAGGCAGTTTTGTTAGGGAGCAGGTTGGAAACATTAGCTGGGAATTGGGGAGGTTTTGGGTTTGATGTGGCAGCGGGGAGTCTTTTTTTTAGTGGGAGAGAGTAGAGCATGTTCTATTCTGCTGGGAATGAAATAGATGATGCAGGAAAGAGATGGGACAGTTCCTGGAGCAGTGTTTCTGACAAGGTGAGAGGGTGGGGACCCTGGGATCCTGGGCTTAGGTCTCAGGAGTCCCAGCTGGGAACAGGGTTTTTCATCCATTTGATGGTAGGGAGTGCTGCCCATGTCAGAGCTCATGCTAGGAGGCTGATAGGTTTAGTGAGGGGAGACATGGGTATTCCTGTATGATAGTACCTGTCTCTACCATGAAGTACTAGACTAAGTCTTGAGTTGGGGGACTTGAGGGCTGGGTAGGACTCTGTCAGCCATTGCCACAGCCTCCCGCACAGCCTCCTGCTCTTCTCTCTTTTGCTAACTCTTCTGTGGTGACTCTGAAGTTCCTAGTGATTATCTTTTTTTTTTTTTTTAAAGATTTTATTTATTTATTTGACAGAGAGAGATCACAAGTAGAGAGGCAGGCAGAGAGAGAGAGAGAGAGAGGGAAGCAGGCTCCCTGCTGAGCAGAGAGCCCGATGCGGGACTCGATCCCAGGACCCTGAGATCATGACCTGAGCCGAAGGCAGCGGCTTAACCCACTGAGCCACCCAGGCGCCCCTATCTTTTTAAAAATTTTTATTTTATCTATTTATTTGTCAGAGAGAGAGAGAGGAGAGTACAAGCAGAGGGAGCATCAGGCAGAGGGAGAAGCAGGCTCCCTGCTGAGCAAGGAGCTGATGCTGGACTTGATCCCAGGACCCTGAGATCATGACCTGAGCCAAAGGCAGACCCTTAACCAACTGGGCCACCCAGGCATCCCCCTAGTGATTATTCTATAGCAAGCTCTGGCTCCCCACCCCCAGGGTCCTCCCAGGCCTAGGGGAAAGCAGTGTGTGAAAGTAGGGGTACTTTCAAAGGCCAGCCATATGGGGAGGCTGGACACTGTGGCAGCCAACTATGTTTCCTGTCTCCTGAGACAGCTTCTTGAGAGACTGAACCGTTTGGAAGTAATTGTTCTCCTTTTCCTCACATAAAAAATGCTTTGCTTTAGTCAGTCAACTTCCTTATATTTGCTCTGATCATTTTTGAATGTTCTATTTTTTTTTTTTTTTTTTCCGGATCCTCCTCTAATATGCCTCAGTTAGAGGGACAGACATTCGGCATAGCTGGTTTTATTTTCCCCAGTGGATCCTTGGTCTGGAAGTTTGTGTGAGGTTTTCAAGGTGCATCAGTTGCTCCTGATATTTAGCAGATGTTTTGATACTTTCCAGAGTACATTTCTTCTCTCCTCTCCTCCCCTTCCTTTCCTCTTCCTTCCACCCTTCCTCCCTCCCTCTTCTTTCTTTCTTTCTTTCTTTCTTTCTTTCTTTCTTTCTTTCTTTCTTTCTT